CACCAAAGAATAAAGAACAATCTAATACAAGGGGACAGCACCTGAGAGAGTTCTGTACATATAACATAGGTGAAACAATACGTCTAACGTAATGCTTCGGCCATCATCTGCGCCAAAAGACAACCACTGAGCTGAAGTGACTTGTGCTAACACCACTCTTGTCATGTACTGTGAATATGCGACACGCAGAGCATTAGCCTGATTTAAAAGACCCCTCCCCCACCTCACAGCATTAATCAACAACAGAATTATAAAACAGCGTTTTAATATTTGACAGGAATTTCACGACTACCTCATTTACACCTATTCAATAATATGCTAGGCGACGCGGAAAACGGAATGGAGGGGCGACGTAGACACCTGCAAATTATATCGATTCAGATTCACGGTCACATGACTCACGTTGACTTAATGACCTCAGGCGGTCGTCACAGTGGGATTATAAAATAGAAATGTAGATATTCTAAAATTAGTTTAAAATGCGCAGATAAACCAAATATTGGGCATAGACACATACAACTGAATCGAACAAGCTGCGTCGCTGATTACAGCCAATTATCTGATTCCGAGCCCACAATTCTTCAGATACTTATTAAGCAATTTAAGCCAGTGACTTCGGCATGCTTAATCTAATACCTTTTAATTCCAAAACCGCGTTTCTTGCAGTTCGCCAACGACCCGGTCGAAATTCGCCATAAATCGGTGGCAGCTGATAGAGATCAGTGAAGGCAGTACGGTAGCTCCTGTAGCGAGGGACATATACCTGAAAAACAATATACACTGCACGATGACCGACAAGCAATGTAAAAACATAAATTGTTTTCAGTTCAACCGGCGATTCAAGGCTAAAGTGCTAAACATCAAACAGCTTCACAAATGGCTACAATGGTCAGTTGAAAATCTGTTGCGCATATGTACCTTACGCGAACGCTGATACATCTGCACATCCACCGTATAAGGTATAGCAGTTAATATGTAACAATCTTTTCGGAACGTGCTACCATACGCACTGGGATATCGGCTGCATAGTCTCGCCCTCAGTTCTATGCAAACCCAAGTCGATTTCCAGTCATTGGTACATTTCAGGCTTGCAGCGAGAAAACTACCTGAACACATATAAGGATAAACTACGCCTATGTCAAACCAAAACAACCTGTCTTATGATCTTCCATATGCTCTGAATAAGAACCCAAGCGAAAGGACTGAACACCACTGTCTGCAATTCCAAAGATTATTATACCGTCTACTCTGTGAGCAGCGCTTCACGGATGAAACAGACAGATAATTCAGAAGGTAATTAAGAGAACAGGTCAGAAAGTGGTTAACACGTTTCTTTGTGCCACCTCTACGGAAAAAAACCTGGTAAACCTAGCACCATAAAGTTACTCAGACTTTCATATTAGTCACTTTAGACAAAAGATGACATATGTACGTGAAAATCTGCACAATAGCGAAATTTTAATTTGTGAACTTTTGGATGTCGGTCAAATTGTGAACTTCTATGAAACGCATTATTTACGGCGCCAGTAATTTATGGACTTCATGGTGCAATGTTGATTCCAGTTTAGTGTCATCAGCATAGAGTGCCATATTTTAGGAGTAATGCTGAGAACTACTTCTGAAGATCTATCAAATGAGCAATGAGAATAAGCAACCTATATGAAACAAAATTACCCTTGATTCCACCAATAATAATTTCGGGCAAATACCTGACTCACTTAGAATAACTGCTTAAGACTAACTGAATAAGTAAACAGGATTCAGGAAAAAAGAATTCGCTACGTTCATCTATTCAATCGTAGGAACACCTATCTCAATCTGTATACGGCTACGATTATGGAAAATACGCAATGAAACAGCTAGAAATTAGTTCTGAATGTAGCACAACTAATATTCAGGACAACTCCCAAAGCCGTAAGTCGGTATGAAAATCATCCCGGCCAAACAGCAAAAAAACATTATAGTTCTGTTGAGAAAGAATTAGAAAATGAACAGTCTGACGGAAGAGGCATGTAACCGGCAATGAAATTATATTGCCACATTTACTCGACACACGGAACTAAAAATGTGATACTTGTCTAAACTAATTATTCTAAATTATTTACGAAGGTAAAACAAATAATCAAAAAAGGTAGTAGTTGACCGCTAAAGCTGAATAGACTTAGCATGAAGCAGAAAACAGAAATAAAACAGAGCGAAACTGACAGTGATGAGTCAGAAATTTTCAACAACCACGTAATATAATCGTTCAAAGTAATCAAAAAGACATAAATCTATAGGGTGAGTAATCGAGAGTAGAAAATAGCATAGTAAACATGTAAAGAATGACTGAAACTAGCCCAACAGCGTTAGAAGTGCAGCGTGACCATGTAGTCATCGAAAGCAACAACCTACAGAACCTTCAGATTCACATATCCGATCGCTTATTCATTCATTCTTTGGACACAGGTGATTTCAAATATTCATACATACCTCGAAAAGTTTACGAATCAGCTCTTTGTCCTGCAGCCAGTAATCGCATACTTCCATTGTTGGCTTGTGACAGTTGCCGTAGACTATTGCAAGTTGAATCAACTAAATTACAAATTTAGATCGTTTTTAACAATTCAAAGTCAACAGACAATACATGCATCAAAACTATATATATATATATCTAAGATTTGGTTATAACTGATGACGCTGGGCAAGCAGGTCAGTGACTGCTGCCTCTTCAAATTCGCCGGGTATGATTTTGAACGTTTCACAGCATAACTGAACCAGCTAGAACCTAGAGGTTCAGCAGTTCATCGTCTTGAGAACTCGCTTTCACCATCCCACCATATAAGTTAAATATAGCACAAATATTGC